GTGATATTAATAACACTAATTTATGGATATTTTTTGTAATTTTGATCTAAGTTTGCTTGTTTAGCATCGTCACAGTTGCTAGGTGACATGACGTACGCCAGGGTAAGGAGGGGAGGCTAGACCGTCCAAATTCACAGCCTCTTTTTTTCCGGTCTTCCCGGTCTACCAAGGACCCGGCCCGCCGCGACCGGGGAGTCTGGGTCCTCCGGAGGACCCGGCCTGTCGTTTTGGACACAGCCTATGTGTTTACATCCATCGCCGCCATGTTTGTAATGACTTATCATGAGAACAAACGTATTCACGCGTGACTTTTAATAGCATTTATTACTTAATGGAAACACCGCAGTTGCAAAACTGTGTTTTTTCGACATTAACAGAAAATCGACAAAGTTTTGCGCACATTTGCAAAGGAAACACAGTTTGTGACATGCCTATCCTTTAAATACAAAAAGTCAAATAAAGCATCTTTATACTTAAGAAAATTGGCATATTAGATAATACACATGATTTTACCCATTTTGTCACATAACTGGCCTATTTTCTTCGTCTCAGCCAAAGTGAAACAGGAAGTTACATCAAAGGGGAACTCATTAACAAAATAAACTCCCTGGTCTTTGTTTATTAAAACAAAATTATTTAAACTTTAACTCTTCTTCATCTCTCTTTGATAGAGACTAAAACTAATCTACAGAAACATCAGATTCTTCTCTACAGTCTGTGTTGTTAGCTGTTGTAACAACGCTCTGTTTATATGCAGACCCTCCCCTTTGACATCACTTCCTGTTTCTTCACATGCAAATATCTCATCAACTGTTCATCTCAGAGACGTGAAATTTGTTTTGCAATATGTTATCAATGTTATCTTCCCAAAAATGCGTTAATGTTTATTACAAAAATTTGATGTCACAGCCCCTTTAAATAACAGCACATTTTTGTATTTTGGTGCAGCTGGTCTGTGTTTGACAGTGAGTTTTGAAGTCACTATCTGCAGGCATCACTGTGAGCTGTTTACATGTTTCATACATCCAGTTTTTCGTATCGTCTGTAAATTACACTGATTTTCCCACATTTTTTTGGCATATATAGGGCAATCTGATGGATTAGTTTTCAAAAATGTTGCTTTGAATTTTTTGAAGGAGAAGGAGAGGTGTGAAAGGAGGTGATCGCTGATGGAGGAGGAGGAGCAGAAGAAGTAGAATGATTAAAGCTTTCGACCTGCTCCAGTTTATTTTTCTAAATTGAAGAGTTCAGCGTGTTTGTTTGGTAAAATCCAGTTGAGTTTGTGTGTTTACGCGTCAGCAGGATGTTACACAACCACCTGTAAGACACACAGGTGAGCAGAGAAGGTGTCAGTAATCCTGTTTGTGGGACGTTTCTGCTCAGAGGTCACGTTGTAGCTTTACTCCCAACTTCTCTGTGCACAGTTTGAACATTTTGAACCTTCTGTTGGATCATAAAATGTCAGTTTTTACCAATCGTGATGAGTCGTAAACTTTAAAAGCGCTCGGCTGTTTAGCTGCAACATTCCTTCGCTCTCTTGGCTCGTCTCAGACCTTTTTTGTGGTTCAGGGCTGAATGTGTGCAGCGAACAAACGCTCCATTCATTCAGGCAGCAGAGGAAGAAAACACAGCTTTTAATCCGACAGGACACAGAGACAAGCTGGGACTTTTAACTGACTGAAGCTGGGAAAGGAGGAAAAATCAAATTAAGGTTAGAGTTCCAGTGGTGGGCACCAGACCGCTAAAACGCACATCCGCTAATTGCGAACCTAAATATTTCATTTGCGCTTTAGCGGACTTACTAATTTTTATAACTCATAAGCGGATTTGTGCTTTCTAAAATGAAAATGCAGTACCRCTAATAACTAATTATCTACCAGTCATCATTATCTTGAACATTGTGGCTGTCGATGAATCACAACACGTGATCTATCCAACAGAACCCCTCCCAGAGAAACACATTTAATGGCTGACTGTTGCTTTGGGTCAGGGTTCTTTTCCCACAATGCTTTGTGTCTGCTTACGTAGCAGGAAGACAACAGCAAAAACAGTTAACATTTGTAATCCATACTAAAATTTTGTATGTATTGATTTGTTTTACTTTACAATTGTAGCTCCTTTTTAAAAAAAAAAAAAAGTTTAAACGCTGGAGCTCAAAAGCAATCGGATAACAGTGTTAGAGACTCAGAGTAACTTACCCCAAAATTAACTTTTTTAGCTGATAAACTGTCTAGAATGTGTCTAAAATGTTATATAGTACTGTTT